AAGTCAGTTTATTTAGCACAATCGGTCAATTGCAGCTTGCCGTTGGCTGGAAACTGTACGTTTATGTCACTGGAATGCACTAATCACCCAAAAAATATTACCGCCACCCGGCGTGTAAATGGATCTAACTCTTTGAACGTACAATAGTGGTTGTGAAGCAGAAAGTCAGTTTATTGTACACAATCGGTCAATTGCAGCTTGCCGTTGGCTGGAAACTGTACGTTTGTGTCACTGGAATGCACTAATCACCCAAAAAATATTACCGCCAGCCGGCGTGTAATGGATTTAACTCTTTGAACGTACAATAGTGGTTGTGAAGCAGAAAGTCAGTTTATTTTGCACAATCGGCAAACTGCAGCACCAACTGTGCACGACAGCCACCAAAAAAAAAAAAAGGGTGTATGTCACTTTAAATTTTCGATTCTTTGATAGCTGTGGCCCTAAGTAACGATGTCTGTGTCCCCCTGAGTAACGATTCTGTGTCCCTGAGTAACGATTCTGTGGCCCTAAAGTCTCTGTGGCCCTAACTCTGTCCCCTTAATACACACAGGTCTGTCTCTCTTGAATGACCGGAGGCTAATGGAGAATTTCTAAGATGGCCGCGATTTATAGCTCTACCATTACACAGTGCTGGCTGGCTGGCTGCTGATTGGCTAATGCGATCACATGTCATGAATGCATTATGGGTCAGCGCGCCTTGTCTGCGCGCCTTCCCAGAGATCCGCCCCATCTTCTCTGTCCATTTTCTCCGTCGCCACACATGTCGCCGCCATTTTTGGGAAAATTCGATTCGTGCATCTGAAGTTTGCTAATCTTCGGATTCGTCGCGAATAGAATTTTTTTCCAAATCTTCGGAACGAATTCCACTTCGTCATGTTCGATTCGCTCATCTCTAATGATTTCCTATGGGACAGGTTCATATCTCCGCATTTTCATCCGATGCGTTTTTTGGAAAGGGTCAGGGATTTTTTTAAAACGCAAAAAGTAGCATTTTTGGTTCTATAGACTTCAATGGAAATGCTGCAGAAAAGCAGTAGTGTGTTTTTGCTGCGCAAAAAACGCAAAACACACTGCAGAAAGGGATCAAACCTAGCCTAAATGTGACCTATAAACTGTACAACTCAATTGAAAAACAAACTTAAATCTTTTTGGGCGGGGGGGATTAAACATAAAAAACTAAAATAATGTGGCTGCATAAGTGTGCACACCCTCTTATAACTGAGGATGTAGCTATGTTCAGAATTAAGCAATCACATTCAAAATCATGTTAAATAGGAGTCAGTACACACCTGCCATCATTTAAAGTGACTCTGATTAACCCCAAATAAAGTTCAGCTGTTCTAGTAGGTCTTTCCTGACATTTTCTTAGTCGCATCCTACAGCAAAAGCCATGGTCCGCAGAGAGCTTCCAAAAAAGTATCAGTCAGGAGAAGGGTACAAAAGAAATTCCAAGGCATTAGATATACCATGGAACACAGTGAAGACAGTCATCATCAAGTGGAGAAAATATGGTGCAACAATGACATTACCCAGAACTGGACGTCCCTCCAAAATTGATGAAAAGACAAGAAGAAAACTGGTCTGGGAGGCTGCCAGGAGGCCTACAGCAACATTAAAGGAGCTGCAAGAATATCTGGCAAGTACTGGTTGTGTGGTACATGTGACAACAATCTCCCATAGTCTTCATATGTCTGGGCTATGGGGTAGAGTGGCAAGACAGAAGCTTTTCTTCTGAAGAAAAACATCCAAGCCCGGCTAAATTTTGCACATCTGAAGTCTCCCAAAAACGTGGGAAAATGTGTTATGGTCTGATGAAACCAAGGTTGAATTTTTGGCCATAATTCCAAAAGATATGTTTGGCACAAAAAACACTGCACATCACCAAAAGAACACCATACCCACAGTGAAGCATGGTGGTGGCAATATCATGCTTTGGGGATGTTTTTCTTCAGCTGGAACTGGGGCCTTAGTCAAGGTAGAGGAAATTATGAACAGTTTCAAATACCAGTCAATATTGGCACAAACCCTTCAGGCTTCTGCTAGAAAGCTGAACATGAAGAGGAACGTCATCTAGGAATGACTTCACCAGAAGAAGTTTAAAGTTTTGGAATGGCCCAGCCAGAGCCCAGACCTGAATCCCATCAAAAATCTGTGGTGTGATCTGAAGAGGGCTGTGTACAGGAGATGCCCTCACAATCTGACAGATTTGGAGTGTTTTTGCAAGGAAGAGAGGACAAATATTGCCAAGTCAAGATGTGCCATGCTGATAAACTCATACCCAAAAAAACTGAGTGCTGTAATAAAATCAAAAGGTATTTCAACACAGTATTAGTTTAAAGGTGTGCACACTTATGCAACCATATTATTTTAGTTTTTTACTTCCCTCCACCTAAAAGAATGCAGTTTGTTGTTCAACTGAGTTGCACAGTTTATAGGTTACATTAAAGGTGGAAAAAGTTCTGAAATTATTTATCTTTGTCTCATTTTTTTACATCACAGAAACCTGACATTTTAACAGGGGTGTGTAGACTTTTTATATCCACTGTACTCCAACGGAATATACAGCAGGTAAAATAAATACTGAACACATCACCATTTTTCTCAGTAAATATATTTGTAAAAGTGCTATTGACATGAAATTTTCGTCACATGTTGGTGACAACCCATGCAATCCATACATACAAAAAAACCCAAAACAAATAAATTCAGAAATTAAGTTATGTGTAATAAAATGGAATGACACAGGGAAAAGGTAATGAACGCATGAAGAAATGGAAGTGCAAAAGGGCATAGAAAGCGGAGACACCAGCTGAAATCTATCAATAATTAGAAAGCAATCCTGCCCCTTGTCAGTGCAAATTAACATAAGCTGGTTCAGTCTCAACTGATGGCCCATAAAAGGTTTCTCATTACCAAGGTGTCAAACAAGAAACATCTCATGATAGGTAAAGGCAAAGAGCTCTCTTAAGACCTTTGCAACCTTATTGTTGCAAAATATACTGATGGCATTGGTTACAGAAGGATTTCTAAACTTCTGAATGTTCCAGTGAGCACTGTTGGGGCCATAATCCAGAAGTGGAAAGAACATCAGTACACCATAACCTGGCCATGACCAAGATTTCAGAAAGAGGAGTAAAAAGAATTATCAGAAGAGTTGGGCAAGAGCCAATGACCACTTGTGGAGAGCTTCAGAAAGAAATGGAATTAGCAGGTACAGTTGTTTTAAAGAAAACAATATGCAATGCACTCAGCCACCATGGCCTGTATCCACCACCACGCAAGACTCCATTGCTGAAAAAAAAGCATGTTGAAGCTCATTTAAAGTTTGCTGCACAACATTTAGACAAGCCTGTGAAATACTGGGAGAATATAGTCTGGTCAGATGAGACAAAAATTAAACTCTTTGGATGCCATAATACACACCATGTTTGGAGGTCAAATGGCACATCACCCCAAAAACACCATAGCAACAGTGAAGTTTGGAGGTGGGAACGGGGCTGTTTTAATACAATTGAAAGAAGGATAAATGGAAAAATGTACCAAGGCATTCTTGATAACTATCTGCTGCCATCTAGCAGTATGATGAGTATGAAATGAATGCAGCAAAGTAGTTCATCTCATGGGACATTTTGCGCTGTTACGGTTTGCACATATTTGTACCACGTTTTGCCACATTTGTCACACAATTTTGCACGTGGCAAAATTCACATTTGCTTCTGCGTTTGAGAGAACACATCTATCTATCCAATCACTGTGTATCCAATCAGGCAGGCCCTTGCACCACATAACTGATGATAAATCTAAACGAGATTGTACATTCAGATTGTATAGTGTATGGTAAGCTTTACAGACTTCCAAAGACACACATCTCCTGTTTTCAGTACTACAGCTCTGCTCCACATAGGCTGTTATGTGATTGCTTAGCTGCTACAAACTCTATCAAATGAAAGATCTATGGAAGAAGAAGGTAAAGTACAAAACAATCCATTGGCAGAGGAGGATGCTAGCTGAGTATTCATGGAGAACATTGTTCAGTGATAATGACTGCATTGTAGAAGCATGTAACTACAGAGGTGGGCGGGAGCAATCTTCTGGAGGGGGAAAGCAGATGCAAGGTGTGTTTTACTGAGGTCAGCTGGTAGTACTTTCTCACTCTACTACTAGTTTTTCCTATAGGACATCCTAAAGAAGGCATTACAGCGTTTACTATATAAGAAACTGGGGGCCGAGGTAAGGCCTACCCTACAACATAGGGACAGTTTTTTCTTCTCTGTACCAGAGGTACATTAGTGTGTCTATGCATGTACATAGCTCAGGATCACACATGCACGGGTGCCGCTTTAGCAAATGACTTGCTGAGAGGGCACCCAGAGGAAGAAGGAATAGACAGCGCCAGCCAAAGAGGAGGTGAGGGACTGCTCTGTGCAATGGATTGGAAGGGTGATCTCTCAATCTCGATCATCACTGCAGCAATGATTGAGATATCATTTTTTAGGGCTGGTGATTATGCACAAAGTAAAAGTAATCCTAGCAGCTAAGAAGCTGCTGGATTTTACAGGTGGCAGAAGGGGGTCCCAACCCCATTCCACCACCGCCTTTACCCGGGCTCTCCCAATCAATCAGAGAGCCTGGGAAGGATCTAGTTCCTGGGACACAGTGAAAGGAACTGATGTTGTTCCTCTCACTGTGTGACATCACAAACTGGAAGCAACGAGGATTTAATCACTTCTTGTATCGGTCCTATGTAAACAAGCAGTAACTGGATTGAACAAACATCTGATCAAACCTATCTTTTAGCGTGTTTTTGCCAAAAAATTGCAGTTTGAAGTAGTTTTCTAGCAAAAGAAAATGTCAGAATTGGCCTGGACTGGAAGTGGCTAATTTGCTCATGACCTAAACACATTTGCACTGGCTTATAAATGGTATTTTCACATACATTGCACATGAAGAAGATTATATAACAACAGATTTTATACATGCACATTTCAGCACTTCCATACCTCTTCAATGAGTTTTGCATTGGACTTTTCCAGTGTATCGATTCTTGTATGAAGACTGCTAACAGTACCACTGTGAACAAGCAGGAAAGTTGAATATTATATTATTATTATGTTATTAATATTATACAGGATTTATATAGCGCCAACAGCTTGTGCAGTACTTTACAAAATGGAAGGAAACAGTAGTTACTATACAATTCAATACAAGAGGACTCAGAGGGCCCTGCTCATTAGAGCTTACAATCTAAAAGCAAGGGATTAAAGAATTTGCTATAACACTACTTATAGGGGAAGATTTATAAAAGACGCATCAGATGCCATCAAAACACATTAACCAACACATATGCCAAGTGAAAAAAAAAACATTCCTTGACACTTTTCCAACATGTTCTTCATTGTGGAAAAGTGGTTACTATAGCATTCATCCTATTTATAACAGGGTAAATGTTGAATTTCCCGCAGATTTCCCATGATTTAAAAAAAAAGACACAATTGCCAAGCCTGAGATAGCAAAGCATTGCATTTACCTAGAGAAATACAGTACAAGGCCTGTTTATGGATAGTGCGGAATCTGTGTTTTTAACAGTTCAGAATCCTGGAATGTGAATGCAGCTGGTTAGGCTGCCAAACACAAGCAGCTTTGTCCTATGCATACCAGGATCCACCACATTGTATTTCTACTGTTTAGCTAATGTTTAAATCTGGTGCATGTGAAAGAAAGCGATTTCTCTATTGGAGGTAAAGTGATAATTGTCAAGCATTTGCAAAGAATTTTCACAACACTGGATACCTGAATAAGTGCTTATGGTCATTGGTCATTCCTAGAGAGGTAACCCCTAAACACCAAAGTCTTACCTGTTGTGGTGCTTGAAAGTATCAGGTTTTGTTTGTCCTGTCCCCCTACTTTTGAACTGTTAAATAAACTGTACTGCAAACTACAATACACAGTATGAAAACAAAGGGCTGAAACTAAGGGAGGTCATAGAATATTGTTTTGGTTTGTTCAATCAGTGGGATGAAATTAAAAAAAAAAAAAAGACCAGATTCCCTCATCCTTGCTGCTGAGTCATTGTATTCTGACTAGAGATGAGCGAAGAGCCACAGTGTGCGTGGGCGGTGGAGGCAGCAGCAATGGGAGGCCATACAGCAATCCCTATGACAAAATGAATGGAACCCACCAGCAGTGTGAGGAGACCTGAAAGTGGCACATGGCAGAGTGGTGGCGATGGAGACAGCAGCAAATGGGAGGCGCCGTACAGGGGAACCCATGACACACTCTGGACCTGGCAGCAGCATGAGGAGGCGGCACAGGGGCCCATGACAGATTACGGGCCTGGCAGCAGCAGTGGGCGGGGAGGCGGTGGATGCATGCAGCGTATTTCGGGAAGCCATACACCACAGGCCTCGGTTAAAAACGCGGAAGCCGTCATCAGCGATGAGCAGACGACAGAGGGCTCATGGCATGGCGCAGGGGTGGCGGTGGGAGGCAGCAGTATTCGGAAGCCATACACACAGGCACTCAGGTTGTAAAAAGCAGAAAGCCGGTCAGCAGCGTGAGCAGACACAGAGACACATGGCGCAGGGGTGGCGGTGGAGGATTGCAGCAGTATTCGGCAAGCCAAACACATGCCTCGGTTTAAAAAGAGGAAGCCGTCAGCAGCGTGAGCAGACGACAGAGGCCAACATGGCGCAGGGTGGCGGTGGAGGCAGCAGGCAATTGAAGGCCATACAGCACCCTATCACAAAATGGAAGCCCACCAAACAGTGTAAGGAGACCTGTAAAAAAAAAAAAAAAGGGTGGCACATGGCGCAGGGGTGCTGGCGGTGGAGGCAGAAGTATTCGGAATAGACATACACAGGACTAGTTTTTAAAAAGCAGAAGCCGTCAACAGCGTGAGCAGACGACAATAGTGCCACATGGCGCAGGGTGGCTGGTGGAGGGCAGCAGTATTCGGAAGCCATACAACAGGCCTAGGTTTAAAAAGCGGAAGCGTAAGCCGGTTCGCAGCGTGTAGCAGACAGACAGAGGACACATGGCGGCAGGGTGGACGTTGAGGAGGCAGCAGTATTTTCGGAAGCCATACACAGGCCTCCGGTTTAAAACGCGCGGAAAGCCGTCAGCAGCGTGAGGCAGAACGACAGAGGCACATGGCGCAGGGTGGCAGAGTGGGAGGCAGCAGTATTTCCGTAAAGCTCATACACAGGCCATAGGTTAAAAAGCAGAAGCCGTCAGCAGCGTGAGCAGACGACGAGAGACACATGGACGCAGCTGGTTGGCGGTGGATCGACAGCAGTTATTCGGAAGCCAAACACAGGCCTCGGATTAAAAGAGGAAAGCCGTCAAGCAGCGTGGTGAGGCAGACGGACAGTAAGGCACATGGCGCAGTCGGTGGCGGTGGAGACGGCAAGCAGCAATGGAAGGCCATTACAGCACCCCTATCACAAAATGGGTAGGGGAAACCCACCAACAGTGTAAGGAGAACCTGTAAGGTGGCACATGGCGCAGGGTGGGGTACGGCTGGCCAAGCAGTATTCGGATGACATACACAGAGGACTAGTTTAAAAAAGCAGAAGGCCGTCAGCATCGCTGAAGCAGACGACAGAGAACACTGGCGCAGTGGTGGCGGTGGAGGCAGCAGTATTCGTAAAGCCATACACAGGACCTAGGTGTAACAAAAGCGGAATGAGGAGGGAGGAAAAAGCCGTCAGCAGCGTGAGCAGACGACAGAGGACACATGGCGAGCCAGTGTGGTGCGGTGGGAGGCAGCAGTATTCCGGAAGCCATACACAGGCCTAGGTTAGAAAAGCGGAAAGCCGTCAGCAGAGGTGAGACAGACGACAGAAGACAACATTGAGCAGCGGTGGCGGTGGAGGCAGCAGTAATTCGGTTAACGCCATACACCGAGGCCTAGCGTTAAATAAAAAGCGGAAGCCGTCAGGCAGCCTGTGAGACAGACGACATAGACTCCATGTGCGCAGGGTAGGCGAGTGGATTGCAGCAGTATTCCGGAAAGCCATACACAGGCCCTCGGTTAAAGAAGCGGAAGCCCGTCAGGCAGCGTGAGCAGGACCGACAGGAGGCAACATAGGATGCAGGGATGGCGGTGGATTGCAGCAGTACATTCGGCGAAGCCCAAACACAGGCCTCGGTTTAAAAAAGCTGAATGCCGTCAGCAAGCGTGAGCAAGACGGACAGAGGCACATGGCGCAAGGGTGGCGGTGGATGCAGCAGTATTCGGAAGGTCATACACAGGACTAGGTTAAAAAAGCGGGAAGCAGTACACGCAGCTGTGAGCAGACGAGAGAGGCCACATGGCGGCAGGAGTAGCGAGTGGGATGCAGCAGTATTCGGAAAGCCAAACACAGGCCTCGGTTTAAAAAGCAAGGAAGCCGTCAGCAGCGTGAGCAGATGACAGGCACATGGCGTCAGGTGTGGGCGGTGGAGGCAGCAGCAATGGGAGGGCCATACAGCACCTACTGACAAAATGGAACCCCACCGAGCAGTGTGAGGAGACCTGAAAGTGGCACCGTGGCAGGGAGTGTGGCGATGGAGACAGCAGCAATGGGGAGGCCGTACAGGGACCCATGAACACACTGTGGGACCTTGGCAGCAAACAAGAGGGAGAGCGGGTTACAGGGGGCCCATGGCGGAGATGGTCGAAGCATAAGCAGCTTAAATTGCGAAGGCCATACAACAGAGGCCTATGTTAATAAATAACATGTTTGGGGCATGATTCAATCGGCGGATTTAGTCAGTTTGTGTCAGGAATGGTGGTGGTTTGAAATCCAGACTAATCCACGCCTGATTCATTTTCACAAAACGTGAGTCTCTCCACACTTTGGGTGGACAGTCGTGTCCTCCCGCGTAGTTACAACATACCTCCTGCCGCACTAAACACGCGCTCCGATGGCCACGCTTATGGCCGGGCAACAGCGACAGCCTTTCAAGGGCAAATTCAGCTAGTTGGGGCCAAAGGTCAAGTTTTTCGTTGCCCAGTAAGTCAAGGGGATTGTCTACCTCCGGTTGGCATATGCAGGGTGCTGTCCCAAGTAGGCCCCGAGCCTGTTGTTTGGAGGTCCTGCTCCAGGTCCACTGATGCTGCTGCTGCTGCGGCTGGTTAGTAGTTTCTCACTGCGCTGGTGAGAAGAAAAGCTACTCTCATCATCGACTGGCAGACTGAGGCAGCCGCTGCTGGTGGAGCTGCCAACTCTGCTCCTACCACCCCACCCCTCCCCTGCTGCCATGGCAAGCGGAACGCGAGGTTACGCGCACAGGGCCCACAGTGTCTGAGGATGGGACTGTTGGCCGCAGAAAGGCAGAGAGACCAACTGACTACATGAGGTGGTTTTTATAGTACTTTATTTTGGCTCTCCCTCTCAGCAGAGTGTGAAAACGGCCACCATTTTTGAACGGTAGCGAGGGTCCAACAAGGATGGAACAGCCAAAAGTCATCCCTCTAGTCTGATGGTTATTATTCGGCTGTCGTCTACGCAAGCAAATCCCGAGCATGCTATGGGGCCATTTGTGCCAAGGAATGCGAGGGATCTCCCTGCCAATCCATCTCCACTGCATACTGCCACGGTGCGTCTGGGTCCTCTGTCTCCTCCTCTCCTCCTCTACCAGATGCTCCTGCTCCTCCACTCCTGTCCGCTGAGTGGAAAAACCACCCATTTCACTCAATAATTCCTGAGCACCAATGTCCTCCTCTACCTCCTCCTCTTCTTCCTGTCCTGCCCCACAGGGGTCATGTGGCGTTGAGATCTGTGCGCCACGTCTACCGCACCCTGACCAGCCATTGTTAACAGCATTTGTTCCAGGGACGTGCAACAGAGGGGGAGGAATGACGTCGTTCATCCCATAGTCCTGCCGACTCACGAAGGTAGCGTGGCCTCCTGTCAAAGGGCTGAGCAAAGCGGCAGGTGTCACGCATGAGCTGCCAATGGCTGACATCTAAGTTTACACAGGGGCGGAGTACCTTTATTCCGCTTGTAACATTCAGGAAATCGGTGATGGCCTTTCGCTGTTAGTAAAGGCGGGTTCTAAATTAATGTTAGGGTTGAATTCCCACCTTGTTGCAACGTCGCAGATCAGGCGATGCTGTGGAATTCCGTTCTGCCGCTGCAGCTCAAGGAGGGTGTGCTTTGCGGTGTAGGAATGGCTGAAATGCATGCAAAGTTTACGTGACATTTTAAGGATGTCTTGCAGTGGGGATGGTGGATTTTTAGGAACCGCTTGACAACCAGATTGAACACGTGAGCCATGCATGGCGCATGGCACAACCTTCCTTGACGCAGAGCAGACCCATGTTCTTTCCGTTGTCTCGGTCAACATCGGTTCCGATTTTCAGTTTGCGCGGAGACAGCCATCTGTCGATTTCTCTGTTCATTACACTTCAGAAGGAAGTTCCTCCCCTGTGTGTGACTACGTTCACCAAGGCATACCAGGTGCAGCAACAGCGTTGACACCGTTGCGCCCTGCACATGTGATATGCCGGTTCGGGTAATGGGACTTGGCACGAGGCGGTGGCGGGACTGAGGACACGGCGTGAAGAAGGAGGTGGTAGAAGCGGACATCTTTGCTGGACCAAGGACGTGCTGCAAACGTGGAGGCAAAAAGCGAGCGGTTGGGACCTGTCCAAGTTGCTGGTGCGGCTGTGCGCGGGCACCACGTTCACCCAGTGGGCCCCGAAAATGACTATGTGACTGTCCCTGAGACCGTAGTTACAGCTCCACCACGTCAGCGCTGCCGTGCACTTTGGCAGAGACCGACATGCTCAAAGACTGGCCCACCATCTCTTTATACATGTGAATGCAGGGCTGGCTCTACTGCCTTTTTTGGCAAGAGAATGCCGGCTTGGCACTCTCCACCGCGGCTCGGCACAAGCCATCATTTCTCGGAAAGGTGCTGAGTTGCCACCACTTGGGAAAGGGAGGGACTGCAGCACCAGCAACTTGGACAGCTGAGGACGTTCAGGCTTCTGCACACCGTCGGGGTGCGTGCTCGCAAACTGTTGGTCTCTTGGAAACGGATTCCAAGAATGACTGCTGACGGAATCCCAGTGAAGGAGGAGTAGCAGGAGATGGAGCATCTGAACACGAGCGTGAAGCATGCCAACGAGCGACAAACTCCCCTCAGCGAGAGGTGTTGGAGCTCTTGACTGGCTGATAGAGGGCGATTGACGTCGGGTGACGGAGCAAGTACACGGAGCGGAGTGAGAAAGGACTGGGGGGCGGGGCAAGGCAGAAAACCGCCTGTATCTTTATCACGGTTTTCCCAGGCCACAGCCGAATGGCGACGCTGCATATGCTGACGCAACGCGCTGTAAGTCCCAACATGGGCCCCCTGGCCACGCTTGACTTTCTGGCCACATAGTCGACATACGGTCTACGTTTTACTTCCTCGGGCGGCTTGACCGAAAATTGCCACACCGGCTACTGCCGAGTAGGAAATCTTTGCCTGCCCGCTACTCCTCACTGGCTGACTGCTACTTCCTCTCGTGCAACACCGGCAGTCACTATTGGCCATGGTGGTTAGGCTGCAGTGGAGCTGGTGCTCTACTCTCCGTGGCCGTTCGGCTCCACTGACACTGCTGCAGACCCTGCTGCCTCCTGGGCAACCCACCGACTTGTTTGCTCGCTGCGACGCAAGCTGGCACCTCATTCTCCTGATGATGCGGAAGCAAATTCAGCCTGATGAACGACGAGGCTGCCAAGTGCGATCAAGCCTCATCATCATCAATTAGGGTCTCCGCCCGCTCACTACTAGTCCCCTCGGCTGCGTGTGGGGTCAGGAGACAGACCTGTCTCTCTAGGACCAGCTACCAGAGCCCACTCGTCCTCGCCAGTACTTACTTCTTCCCTGGCTGTGCTGAAGAGGCGGATGGTCTCCCCCCCCCGTTCCCCTGACCGCCCTCTGTTTAGCTCTTCCTCACTGTACAGTGGGGTTGAGCCCACAGCATGCAATACTTTCGCTTGGTGTAGGGAACACCAAAGGACAGGGGCAGGTAGAGGACACGAGATTTCAGTGGGCTTTGCTTCTCCAGGGCCATGCCAAAACTAACGGTTTGTGTCTGACGTACCCGACCGTACCGTTTGGCTGTCAGGTGTACCAGAGGTGACCTGGGCAGATGTGAAGACCGACCGAGTTCAACCAATCGATGACGGCAGGGGGTTGTCGGTGGAAGTCTTCGACAACGACCGCTGGATGACACTCGGGAGCAGCTGGCCAACTCTGGCTGCGACTAGTGCTGCCACTCGACCCACTTCCTCTGCTAGCCACGTCTGCTCGCTCTCTGAAACACCATTGACTCTCCTCTGCCACTCCTCTGCGTGTTGTCTGACATACTCTTTAATTCAATAAGCACTCACCCCCAAACATTAAAACAGGATTTAACTCTTTGAACGTACAATAGTGGTTTGTGAAAGCAGAAAGTAAACAATTCTGTGTCCCCCTGGTAACGATTCTGTGTCCCCCTGAGTAACGATTTCTGTGTCCCCTGCGAGTAAAAAACGATTCTGTGTCCCTCAGTAACGATTCTGTGTCCCTGAGTAACGCAATTCATGTGTCCCTGAGTAACAATTCTGTGTCTGTCCCTTAGTAACGATTCTGTGTCCCTGAGTAACAATTCTCTGTCCCTGAGTAACAATTCTGTGTCCCTGAGTAACAATTCTGTGTCCCTGAGTAACGTTCTCGTGTCCCTCTGAGTAACAATCTGTGTCCCTGAGATAATACGATTCTGTGTCCCTGAGTAACGATTCTGTGTCCCCTGAAGTATAACAATTCTGTGTCTGTCCCTGGGAGTAACGATTCTGTGTCCCTGAGTAAACAATTCTGTGTCCCTGAGTAAGGATTCTGTGTCCCTGAGTAAGGAATTCTGTATCCCTGAGTAACGATTCTGTGTCCCTGAGTAACGATTTCTGTGTCCCTCAGTAACGATTCTGTTCCCTGAGTAACGATTCTGTGTCCCTGAGTAACGATTCTGTGTCCCTCAGTAACGATTCTGTGTCCCTGAACGATTAACGATTCTGTGTCCCTGAGTAACGAATTCTGTGTCCCTGAGTAACGATTCTGTGTCCCTGAGTAACGAAGTAACGATCTGTGTCCCTGAGTTTACAGTAACAAATTCTGTTGTCTGTCCCTCCCTGAGTAACGATTCTGTGTCCCTGAGTAACGATTCTGTGTCCCTGAGTATCTGAGTAACAATTCTGTGTCCCTGAGTAACGAATGATTCTGTGTCCCTGAGAGTAACGATTCTGTTTGATCCCTGAGTAACAATTCTGTGTCCCTGAGTAACAATTCTGTGTCCCTGAGTAACGATTCTGTGTCCCCTGGAGTAACACGATTCTGTGGCCCTGAAAGTCTCTGTGGCCCCTATACTCTGTCCCCTAATACAGACAGGTCTGTCTCTCTTGGAATGACCAGAAGGCTAATGGAGAATTCTAAGATGGCCGCGATTTATAGCTCACCATTATCACAGTGCTGGCTGGCTGGCTGCTGATTGGCTAATGCGATCACATGTCATGAATGAATGCATTATGGGGTCAGCGCGCCTTGTCTGTGCGCCTTCCCAGAGATCCCCGCTCCGTCGCCACATGTCGCGCCGCCATTTTTGGGAAAATTCGCATTCGTGCATCCGAAGTTTGCTAATTTTCGGATTCGGCGAGGCGTAATCGAATTTTTCCTAATCTTCGACAACGAATTCCACTTCGTCATGTTCGATTCGCATCATCTCTAATTCTTGACAGCAGGGAGCCTTCCCCACAGTAAGACACTACAACAGGGGTGGTTGTTTGGTGCTCGCCGGGGGGGTGGGGGTTGCTATAACTGGCAGCACTAATCGATCGGGAAGAAAGAAACTGACACACTGATTGTACAAAAGTCGACTGGCAGAATATTATTATTATTATACAGGATTTATATAGTGACAACAGTTTTTCTCAGCACTTTACAAAATAATAACGGGAGACAAATACAGCAACAATACAGTTCAATACAAGAGGGTTAGGAGGGCCCGGCTCCTTGGAGCTTACAATCTAAGATAACATTCTATTCAACCAGCCTGCCCTCACATTCATGTATTGAATTTTGGCTGGTTGAGCTCTGGCTTTTATTTCAATATAAGTGATTTTAAAATTGCATGTAATGGTGTTTTTACAGGACATTTATTTTGTTGTAGACTTACTTCAGTTGTCTGTTAAGTTCTTCAACATAATTTCTTCTGATCCAGTATTGCAGAAATGTGTACATTCCTACAAAAAAAGAAGACAAATGTTAATAACTCTGCAATAACCCTGCAGATATCCAGTTTAAAAGGAATAAAACATAACATTTAAATGTGCTAGTTTGAAGAAAAGTAACACTTGCAAGTGCATAAAATGTGCCTAGATAAAGCTATAATTACAGATAGGCAGCCAATAGATGGAGTCATTTTTTTTTTTGTTTAGCTAACAGGACTACCGTAATTTTTGCTCCATCAGACGCACCTGACCATAAGACGCGCCTAGGTTTTACAGGGAGAAAAAACAAGAAAAAAAATATTCTGAAACCAATGCACTGCAGACACAGTACAGGAGATGACCAGAGACTGCGGACATAGTACAGGAGATGACCAGAGACTGCGGACACAATACAGGAGATGGACCGGAGACTGCAGACACAGTACAGGAGATGACCAGAGAGTGCCGGCATAGTACAGGAGAAGACCAGCGACTGCGGACACAGTACAGGGGATGACCAGGGACTGCAGACATAGTACAGGAGATGACCAGAGACTACGGACACAGTACAGGAGATGACCAGAGAGACTGCGTACATAGTACAGGAGATGACCAGAGACTGCAGACATAGTACAGGAGATGACCAGAGACTGCCGGCATAGTACAGGAGATGACCAGCGACTGCGGACACAGTACAGGGGATGACCAGAGACTGCGGACATAGTACAGGACATGACCAGAGACTGCAACAGTACAGGAGATGACCAGAGACTGCGGACAGTACAGGGGATGACCAGAGAGACTCCAGACAGTACAGGGGATGACCAGAGAGTGCGGACAGTACAGGGGATGACCAGAGACTGCGGACACAGTACAGGGAATGACCAGAGACTGCAGACAGTACAGGGGATGACCAGAGACTGCAGATAGTACAGGAGATGACCAGAGACTGCAGACAATACAGGAGATGACCAGAGACTGCAGACAGTACAGGGGATGACCAAGAGACTGCAGACAGTACAGGGGATGACCAAGAGACTGCAGACAGTACAGAGGATGATCAGAGACTGCAGACATAATACAGGGGATGACCAAGAAACCTTTGGGGAGGGGAGGGGGAGCGGGTACCTGAATTTGACAGGTACCCGATCCCACTTCCGCGGAGTTGTCCTTCCTTTAGTGTAGGCACCGGCTGTGTCCGGCTGTGCCGGGTTCCCACTGCGCATGCGCAAGAAGCGCTGCGCTTTGTGAATGGCCCGTCGTCTTCTGGGACCTGTCATGTGTCCCAGAAGACGCCGTATCATTCACAGCCTGGTGCCCACACTAAAGATGCCGGTGCGGGAAGATTGCACAGAGCTGGACCGAGGAACAGGTAAGGTCCTGCTGCAGAGAAAGAGCTGAGCGGCCGGCTCTGTATTCTGACACGGTGGTGGCGGCCCCTTTTTTTGGGGTAAAAAATGCGTCTTATGGAGCGAAAAATGCGGTAGTTGAAAAACCAAGATTCGATTTCCTTGTCCACACATTTGATGTGGATGAGGGAATCCTCCCCGCTGAGCTATTGTATTTTGACAGAAGGAAGACTTCCCACTGTCAGAATACACTGATCAGTGTTGCCTGCTTTAGCCAGCGTCCTTGATCGAGTGGGGAAAACCTGACTGGGAAGTTGCAGAAGTCAATCTGTAGATTGATAGATCGACTTCTGTACAACCTCCCTGCCCATACAGCAGAGAAAATAATTATTTGATATACTGCAGATTTTGTAAGTTTGCCCATTTACAAAGAATTGAAAAAATGCCTTGTTGATGTCAGAGGTCATAGGAGAATAGGCAGATTGGTTCAAGATGATGGAAAAAGCAACAGTCAATTTGGACCAAAATCTCTGAGGAATGTTGCCAACACCTTGTAGAATCTATGCCATGAAGAATGAGGGTCCAAACCTGGTTCTAGCAAGGTGTACCTAATAAAGTGGCCAGTGAGTGTATGTCACCTTAACTGTGTACATAGATAAAAGGAAAATTAAAGGGTTCTTGATCTGAATATTAAACAAAACATGAAAAATGTATCCCTGACTTATCCTTACCTTCCTTCCCGATCATGATCATCTTCTTCAGATTTTAAATATATGGAAAAAATCAATGACCCCAACCTAACAAGTAAAAAGAATACAATTAAAAATACTAGCTCTCTGTTTGATGGATCGATAACACTTTTATTGGATTCTTTGATAGACTTTCTCCCCACCAACCTGAACTATTAAAACCATATCTACTAATCTCTTCCTATGTTGACCATACAGATCATGTGGTCAAAATAGGCAAATGTAAGCTATTAACAGTTAACAGTTTGTAAATACCCGCAGATTAAACTACCTATAAAAAAGTAATAACCATGTAACCACTGATGGCTGATCATGCTTAATGATGAATTTATTTTTATATCACTTTTTTAAAAGTTATTTTATAGAAATGTGAAGAGTTACATATGATAGAGAGAATAATTAATTTTGCTGAAAGAGTACACCAGGGATGTTGAATTTGTATTGCCCAGGCGCCGGGAAAGCTAGTTTTTTTTATCCTTCAGCCCTGCTGTTGGCAAGCAGTAGAGCTCACCTGTCAGGTGGAAGCATTTGGGAGGCAGCGCTGCCGCCGATTGCTTCCACAAAGTGCCAGCCTCTGCTCCCCCCCACGTGAACCGTTCACTGTCTCCCGGGCTGCGCTTGTCCATCTGTGGGCCCGGGAACCAGCTCACTGCTGTTATTTATTTATTATTATTTATTACATCGAGTTTATATAGCGCCAAAAGGGTTTGCTCAGCGCTGTACAATAGGGGGGACAAATACATGGCACAGTACAACAAAGACAGACAGCGTACGAGGGGTAAGAGGGCCCTACTCTTTCAAGCTTACAATCTAGGAGGGAGGGGGGTAGTGGAACAATAGGAAGTGGCTGAGGGGAATGAAGTGGCTGAGGGGGATGAAGTGGTGGGAGGAATGAGGGAGAAAGGCCGTTAGGTGAGGGTGGGGTAGGCTTCCCTGAAAAGATGGGTTTTGAGGGAGCGCCTGAATGTGGGGAGGGAAGGCGACAGTCGGATGGATTGGGGCAGTGAGTTCCAGAGGATAGGGGAGGACCTGGAGAAGTCCTGCAGTCGTGCATGGGAGGAGGAGACCAGGGAGCAGGATAGAAGGAGGTCCTGTGAGGAGCGAAGGGTACGGGTAGGGTGGTACTTGGGGATCAGGTTGGTGAGGTAGTCAGGGGCAGTGTTGTGAACGGCTTTGTAGGTCAGGATTAGAAGTTTAAATTTGATGCGTTGGGCAATCGGGAGCCAGTGGAGGGAGAGGCAGAGGGGGTGGCAGAGGTGGAGCGGGTGGTGAGGTGGATGAGTCTGGCCGCTGAGTTCAGGATGGTCTGCAGCGTGGAGAGCCTGCACTTGGGTAGGCCAGTGAGAAGAGAGTTGCAGTAGTCAAGGCGTGAGATGATGAGGGAGTGTACAAGAAGTTTGGTGGTGTCTGGGGTGAGGAAGGCACGTATCTTGGCAATATTGCGGAGATGGAGCCTGCAGGTGTTTGCAAGTGATTTGACATGAGGGAGGAAGGAGAGGTTCGAGTCAAGAATGACGCCAAGGACTTTGGCTTGCGGGGCGGGAGTGATAGTGGTGTTGGTGGTAGTGATGGATAGCTGGGGGGGGGGGGGGGGGGGGGGGGGGGGGTGTGGGCAGGGGGAAAGACGAGGAGTTCGGTTTTGGAGAGGTTAAGCTTGAGGAAATGGAGCGACATCCAGTCTGAGATGTCGTTTAGGAGGTGAGTGATGCGGGCGGAGATAGTGGGGGTGAGGAGAGGGGTGGAGAGGTAAATTTGGGTGTCGTCAGCATAGAGGTGATAATTGAAGCCATGGGAGTGTATGAGTGTGCCCAGGGAGGAGGTGTAGATGGAGAAGAGAAGGGGTCCAAGGACAGAGCCTTGAGGGACCCCAACAGAGAGGGGGAGGGAGGGGGAGGTGGCGCCATTGTAGGTGACGCTGAAGGAGCGTCGGGATAGGTAGGATGAGAACCAGGAGAGAGCGGTATCTCTGATGCAAAGGGAGAGTAGTTTATTAAGGAGGAGGGGGTGGTCGACTGTGTTGAAGGCCGCAGAGAGGTCCAGGAGAAGGAGGACAGAGTAGTCGCCCTTGGCTTTGGCGTTTAGTAGGTCGTTAGTGATTTTGAGGAGGGCAGTTTCGGTGGAGTGTAGGGGACGGAAGCCGGACTGTAATGGGTCAAGGAGGTTATTGTCAATAAGGTGGGCGCTTAGGCGATCATAGACTATGCGCTCAAGGAGCTTGGAGGTGAGTGGCAGCAGGGAGATGGGTCTGAGGTTGTTGGGGTCCGCGGGATCCAGGGAGGGCTTTTTTGAGGATGGGGGTGATATGTGCGTGCTTTAGGGGGGAGGGGAATGTGCCAGTACAGAGGGAGAGATTGAAGATGTGGGTGAGGGAGCGGATGAGGGAAGAGGGGGGTGACCGGAGGAGTTGAGAGGGGATAGGGTCCAGGGGGCAGGTAGTGAGGCGGGCTTCTGAGAGGACCTTGAAGACTTCCTCAGTAGTGACAGGGCTGAGGGAGTGCAGTGCAGGGGGGGTTACGGTGGGCGGGGCCTCGGGAGAGGTGGAGGGCAGTGCGGTTGTGAGGGCAGAGGAGGGGGGAGAAGAAGGGGTGACGGGGATGGGGAGGCTGTTGACTAGTGGGGAGGGAGGAGATGGACACATCCGCTCCCCTTCTTGTTCTGACCCGGAAGTGACGTTATGATGTTTGATATCTATTTACTCGGTGCAACCTCATCTTTCATATTTTCCAAAAAACAATAGGGTAATTTATTGCTTTTTTTGTGCCCTAAAATTAACTTACTTGTATTTTTTACAGAAATTTTGCGGTAATATCATTCGACATACAAAATTGGAACTACCACTGTTTTATTCTCTAGAGTGTCTGCTTTCAGAAAATATATGTTTGGGGGTTTTGTGTAAACTTCAGGCCTAAAATGATATTTTAATCGTGTGCAAAAAACGCAAAAGCGGCTCTGGCAGCAAAAGGGATAAAGGATAAGCTGGGCACTCCCCTTTCCTGACAAGCAGCCAATTGGAGCTCATTACACTGCAAGGTCTCTCCCCTCCCTGCTAGTCCCCCGGTGCGGTGCTGGAGACAGGCAGGGAGGGGAGGGGAGGAGGAGATAAACAGCGCAATGTTAAAAATTATTACATTTTTAAATCGCCATAAAGCCACTTTTGATTTTAAAAGCCCCAGGCATTACTTAAAGCAGATTTAAATACAGTTTTGGTTCAAATTAATTTTTTTTTTTATCTGGACAAGTAGATTATCATGAGGGACAAGTAGATTGGGACACCGATTTAGTCCCTGGACAAGTAGTTTTTTAAAACATTTCCACACCCTTGCACACTATAGGAGAAAAAGAGCTGTATAGCAGGTAAGGTATTCATTACATAGAGGATGCTATTAGTATGAAATAGGCAAGTGTTAAACTTTATGGAGAACTGTAATCTTGCAAATAAATAGCAGAAACTGGCATTTGATATTCTTTTTTCCTAATAACATTACAAAAACAGTAATTAAGAGTTAACAACAAAATGATTTAGATGCCTTTCTGTAAAGTACTATTCTGTGTTCTGGAAAATTTGTTCTTTAAAGTTTTTAAGTGCAGTCAAAACAAACGACACAAAATTCAGTAAAAGGGATATAACTTACAGTCTGTAGGATGTGTCCCTTGTGCTGATGCCTCTTCTATTAGGTAAAATCCTTTTCTGCTCCCCCCCTTGCCAGCCCCCCCATCCCTGTCCAATGCTTTACATATCTGTCACAGATGACTTATACAAAATGTATTCATTATTACCAAAATCAAGGACTATGCATTTGACTGCAGAAAATACCTTACTTAAAGTAGATAGGAGCCTAAATACCAAAACATTTCACAGAGCTTTAACATGTTAATTAAATTTTCAAAACTGCAACTTTTATGAATTCTTATAGGGTTATCTTGCCATAAAGATGCTTATTCAGACACTCTCTCTTATGAGGTGACAACTGTCTCTCAATTGTGCTGCTCAGTTGTCACACTTCCATGTTGGTGGCCAGTCCAGAGCAATGATTTGCATCTGAAACTGGAATGTTTAAAAAAAGGAGTGAACATAGTATTTTATAAAAGAAAAAGTAATTGTTTATGATAAACAGTTCTTTAGCAAATTAAATGTAATGCAGTTAGGGTTAAATCTTTTTCAAAATGTACATTAAAATGGCAAAAGTGTTGGCATGGAGAGCTTCTCATACCCTCAGTATGGATAGGGGAAGCAGCCTTACAGACCATTGCACTTCAAACAGCATACCAGATCTTGTGGGAAAAAAATTCCAAGTATTATGCAACATACTTGTGAATCCAGATCTTCTCCTTTGACACAGAGATTGGCATCAATCACATTCAATCCAACCAACAATCCAACAATTACTGTCCCTTCTTCTTCCATCATTACTGCATAGTTTTCATAAAACTCACTAAATAAGAAAATAGGAAGAGTGGTGTACCGTAAATACAAACATACAATAGCAAATGTTTCAGCAAACATGGAAATGAAAATAACACATATATATTTCAAGTAATATATTTGTGGCAACACTGGAAATATAAAACACATCAGAAATTGTGCAGATAAGTACAGGAAAGAGGTCCAGAGCTGGTCATACATCAGGATACATCACTAACTGTACAGTCACAATAGAGACCTGCATGGGTTTTATTAAAATCCCAAATAGGGATGAGCAAATGGTTTGGATAAATTCAGACTGAACTTTGGCTGTTTTGGTGTCTGTCCCAAACATTACACCCAAGCCTTAGTGCATTCAGCAGGAGCCATACATCATATATAGAAGCTGTATTTGTACCGCTTCTATGTATGACAGCTTCCTGCTGTCACTGGTTCTTAAGGAAGCCATGGGTGCTTGCACCCACCGCTTTCCTAGGAACCACTGATGTCACAGGAAATCCCTGCTCCTTTTAAGTAAAGGGGCAGGGATAGCAGGTACATCACTCTGCAAATATGGCCACTGGCCCAACTTGGGGAATGACTCTGACAACAAACATAGGACTTAATCTCACAAACATTCTTTTTTCCTGGAGTCCCCTTTAAAATCCATTCAAAAGACCCAAAGGGTCTGGTATATATTTTGGGGGTGGGGGTGGACTCTATGCAATGTATTTTTTCTTCCTTGCTGTAGGATGTGCTACAGCAAAGAAAATACATTTACAATTTACAAAGAAAAACCAATGATACAGTTTAAATTACCAACAAATGACATTCACTGCCAGCTTCTTTATAAAAAAAATAAAAAAAAAACCCCACAGCACACAAAAACCTCCATATCTCAACCAAAATACATAGCAGAGTCTTGGACGGGTCTGTGAGCTTTTGTTTTTTTTGTTTTTTTTTCTTTAACAAAGAAGCCGGCAATGACAGCTGTCAAAGTCATTTAAAAACTTGTTTTCCTGTGTAAATGTCAGTGTTGCTGCAGCAGTTTGTGTATATCACAGAAATGCGCCCCGCCACAAGTGGGATTAGGACACCCGCAGGCATGTTATCTAAAGGAATTAAATTATTCACTTCAAGTATTTTGAAAAAAAATAATTGCTCCTGGCCAAACTGATTTTTTCCATTGTACGTTCCCCAAGGCAGTGCCCAGTCCCATTGCTATTTTTTGACAATTTAACAGATTTGGCTCCCATTTATGTCAATGATGCTTGGGTTCAGTATCCAAATTTCTTTGAAGTTTGCAGAGCCCTGCTTGAACCAAACCCATCCCAAATTGCATAACATGCACTAGACACCTGAAAAATCAATCAGCGACCTTATTCTTATAAAATAAAAAAAAAGGCTGATAAAGATGATTCCCTCCCACCCCAAATACAGTACGTGTTCAGCATTGTGCCAGTGCACAATACAACTCAAACTTCCCCTTCTACTACTATTTACAAGTGTAAAAGTGACTAATTGCTAGCTATGAGGCAACATGGATGGTTGCTTTTTTTCAGAGTTGCCTCTAGTAAGATTGCTGCCTCTATACTGAGACAGTGCAAAGCAAGGCATTGTAAGTAATGGGTAAAGATCATCTGCAGGGAGTCTAGTAAATAGTTATTTGCCTGCCTTTTTTGGGAAAAACTTCCATTGTTCTATTCTTCTTCAGGCACCATATGGCTGTTGGAAGCCACAAGACATTCATGTAAACAGAATGTCCCAGTTGTCTCCAGCTCTGAAACCCTCTGTAAGATTTTACCTATTCACAATCCCCGGTAATTGGGCATAGTGGAAGGCAGAGAGATCTAATACAAGTATGTTCAGGCACATTTAGGTACTAACACTTTATATTAGCTAGCAGATTTCTTTTTTTGTTTTGTTTCCTTGAAGGTACTCACAAACATGAAACATTTTTACGGTTGTCTGCAAATGGGACCTGCAGTCCGGTGTCAAGGTAGAACTAGCAAGGTTGGACCCGACCTTTAATGTTCCCCCATAAGGACACTTGGCCTCTTCTTTCTTACCACTTCTTATTGCAGCAGCATAAATGTGTGAGTGTTAGAGCCAACAAAGTCTGACAAATATGGAAAATTACAGAAATAAAGCACTATTGCCAGGAAACACATATAAAGCTATACAAGGATAGTATTAATAATACATGAAGCAATAAAATAAATATGCAGTAAGCATTGTCACATTTTCTGAACTAGGTATTTATCAAAGCCTTTTTGTTGGGGTGTATTTTTATTTCGAATCCCAAGTGAATGTGAAAAATTAATACATAACTGAGTAACAAACCTCAAGAGATCCCTACGCATGATCAGGCAACGCAGATAGTCTGCCAGTTTCTTCTGCATCATTGATAACCTCAGCCAGGCTCTAGCTCGACCGAGGGGTGTTCTGCAGTTGAAATAAAAGACAATTGGATTAAAGTATTCACATCAACAGCAAGGCAGCGGTTATGGCTTCTGCATAGCAGTGCAGGAATAAGTTGCCCAGTAACATGAAATGGCACACCTGAGCCCCGGTAAGTCTCGCACGCTGGCTGCAATCTCTTCGGCTTCTGGACATAGCTTCTCCACCAGTTCCAGGGGACCCCATATTGTTCTGTTAAAGCTCAAAAATGATTTTCTCACTATAGGATTACAATATAAAAGAAGAAATGAAAAATGTTTTTTCAAAATAAAAGTAAAGTGCCTGTAAATGTAAGTGTTGTTTAAGTTTTGCCTATCTATCACTTAAGGTGAACCAGTCACGATTCTTAATTATAACTGTTCCAGTGCATTTATGAAAAATGTATATATGGCCTTTCACGCAGATTTATATACTTTGTAAATGGACAAATTAGGAGCAGAAACATGACCTGAGGGATAACATGCTGCCTTCTAAGCTGCCTGAGAAATGCTAACATGCTTTCTTCCAGATACAGAGTTTGAACAGCATTTTATATATATAGAACTCTATTTTGTTGGTGCTACTATGCACATTTAAGAAAGTTACTGAAGTAATGTAGCCTTACTCATCCCATTTCCTAAGCAAAAGATACTAAAGGTCACCACCTCCTGTCCCTTTGTGCTCAATTTTAATTATCAGATATTATCCTTCATTTCAGTCAATAGCTCAGCAAGGTTGATGGGCACAGTGGTGAGAGTGGAAGGATTGATACCATCCAACTGTTTAAAGGGGCAGCCAAGTCTTCTTTTTACAGCATGTGAAGGTCGAAGCAGTAGCAAGCATTACAGTATGGCATGTGCACAGGGTCCTGATCCCTTACCCTGCAACTCAGAACTCCGAAGGCTTTTCTAGGCAATAATAAAGCTTTCTGCAAGTTGTGGAAAAAATATGACACCAACAGGGTTGTGGGGTCAGTATAGTCAACATCTATTTTGCTACACTTATCACCTTAGTAAGAATTTGCCTTATTTGTTTGGTACTAAAACGGAAAGGTACTTTATTATAACATCAAAGTTTTTGTATCAGGGCTTTGTCCTAAGCCGCAAGATTTAGTATGTTATTTCATTCCTTTGTAAACTGTCAAAAATTTCTCATTGCACTAATGAACACATTAATACAGTATGAGATCAGACATTTGAAGGGGTAGCAACTGTCAGACCTCATGAAGCCTCAATATTCATCTTCTGACAAAACAGGTTCTCACGTACATAATTCAGAAGGAAAGTGACATGCTTCAGAGTTGTTTTAACTTGATATTGTTTGCCTTTGAGCTGCTTATGAAGTTCCTGCGGAACTGTGTTGAGCTTCTTTAGCATTCACACTGACTTTTTTGAAAGTAAAAAAATCAACGTATATTCCAACAAATACAGTCAGGTCCATAAATATTGGGACATCGACACAATTCTAACATTTTTGGCTCAATACACCACCACAATGGATTTGAAATGAAACGAACAAGATGTGCTTTAACTGCAGACTGTCAGCTTTAATTTGAGGGTATTTACATCTAAATCAGGTGAAACGGTGTAGGAATTACAACAGTTTGCATATGTGCCTCCAACTTGTTAAGGGACCAAAAGTAATGGGACAGAATAATAATCATAAATCAAACTTTCACTTTTTAATACTTGGTTGCAAATCCTTTGCAGTCAATTACAGCCTGAAGTCTGGAACGCATAGACATCACCAGAGGCTGGGTTTCATCCCTGGTGATGCTCTGCCAGGCCTCTACTGCAACTGTCTTCAGTTCCTGCTTGTTCTTGGGGCATTTTCCCTTCAGTTTTGTCTTCAGCAAGTGAAATGCATGCTCAATCGGATTCAGGTCAGGTGATTGACTTGGCCATTGCATAACATTCCCTTAAAAAACTCTTTGGTTGCTTTTGCAGTATGCTTTGGGTCATTGTCCATCTGCACTGTGAAGTGGCGTCCAATGAGTTCTGAAGCATTTGGCTGAATATGAGCCGATAATATTGCCCGAAACACTTCAGAATTCATCCTGCTGCTTTTGTCAGCAGTCACATCATCAATAAATACAAGAGAACCAGTTCCATTGGCAGCCATACATGCCCACGCCATAACACTACCACCACCATGCTTCACTGATGAGGTGGTATGCTTAGGATCATGAGCAGTTCCTTTCCTTCTCCATACTCTTCTCTTCCCATCACTCTGGTACAAGTTGATCTTGGTCTCCTCTGTCCATAGGATGTTGTTCCAGGAAGTGAAGGCTTTTTTAGATGTCGTTTGGCAAACTCTAATCTGGCCTTCCTGTTTTTGAGGCTTACCAATGGTTTCCATCTTGTGGTGAACCCTCTGTATTCACTCTGGTGAAGTCTTCTCTTGATTGTTGACTTTGACACACATACACCTACCTCCTGGAGAGTGTTCTTGATCTGGCCAACTGTTGTGAAGGGTGTTTTCTTCACCAGGGAAAGAATTCTACAGTCATCCACCACAGTTGTTTTCAGTGGTCTTCCAGGTCTTTCGGTGTTGCTGAGTTCAACGGTGCGTTCCTTCTTTTTAAGAATGTTCCAAACAGTTGTTTTGGCCACGCCTAATGTTTTTGCTATCTCTCTGATGGGTTTGTTTTGTTTTTTTAGCCTAATGATGGCTTGCTTCACTAATAGTTACAGCTCTTTGGATCTCATCTTGAGAGTTGACAGCAACAGATTCCAAATGCAAATAGCACACTTGAAATGAACTCTGGACCTTTTATCTGCTCATTGTAATTGGGATAATGAGGGAATAACACTCACCTGGCCATGGAACAGCTGGGAAGCCAATTGTCCCATTACGTTTGGTCCCTTAACAAGTGGGAGGCACATATGCAAACTGTTGTAATTCCTACACCGTTCACCTGATTTGGATGTAAATACCCTCAAATTAAAGCTGACAGTCTGCAGTTAAAGCACATCTTGTTCGTTTCATTTCAAATCCATTGTGGTGGTGTATACAGCCAAAAATGTTAGAATTGTGTCAATGTCCCAATATTTATGGACCTAACTGTATCTATGTACATGAGCTGATAGTAAAGTTTATTGAGGAAATTAGTATTAGTATGCTCCAAGGTAATTTAGCATGGCTAAAACATTAAAAACATTTTTTTCTGCTGAACTTTAGCATTTAATTTCAATTAGCACACAACTACAAGAAAATGCAGATAGGGTAAGCAAAATGCCTTTTATTCAATGGCGCCAACAACACATCACAATGAGCAAAAAAATTGACTTCATGTACCTAAAGTATTAAACAGTGCATATGTAAAAAAAAGGTGCACATGTCAATGCACATGCATTTTGCACATGTTACACTCAGTGATGTGGTATGAACAAGCCATTAAAGACTGGATTGTGTATAGAAGATTTAGGGAAAAAGAAGAAAACAGTACATACAGTGAACATCAGTCAACACAAAAATCACATGTAAACATATTTGACAGGTTCACGAAGGCATATGTAATTCTACTCAGTATTTTGCCATCACAAACCTCTGAAAATAGCACAGCTTCACCACTTTCTGTTCAAGCTAACCTAACTCACTCCTATTTTAATGTAACACTAAGGTTCCTTTTACACAGAGCAGAGCCTGCTCTGATCAGCAGCGTTGCCTTGAGCTGATCCCCTGCTGATCGGAGCCAAACGGGAAGAATGTCACATCCAGGCCCGTTCAGTTTCCACAGAGAGGACACAGGTGGACCCTTAAGAGCTCTATGGACAGCCGGATGTAAATGGACTCTATTTACCTCAGGTTACCTCCAATATGATCAGCAGAAACGGAAAAGGACACAGTCTTTTTTTTTTTACCTGGACAGACCTGGAGGTAGAGGGGAGTAGACAGACACAAGTCTGTTTACATCTGCCTGTCCATAGGGCTCCATGGACCTTTCGATCAGGTCCACCTGAAAAACTGATAGATGGACTGGATCAGAATGCCTGCAGGGGCCTAACAATTCACAATTTTTACCTGTGCGCATCATGATATTACAACAAAAGGGGGAAAAGCTCACTTAAAATGAAAGACAAACTTGGACTTTGGGCCACAGAAAAGTATTATTATTTACATATTTTTTTATACATTATATATTTAAAAATATTCTCTTTATACAAGATACTGGTCAGTCTTTATATCTAGTGGCAGTGTCAATTTAAACACACTTTCTATTTTCTTTTGGATTAATACCTATAAGTTTAAATATATGTATTCAAACCTGCTGCCAGGTCCTAGTGCAACAAAATAAATAGGTTAGGACAAAATACAACTGCAAAAAGTTATTTGGTGTTCAACCAACACATCTCCAACAACAAAAAAACATAATTTCGATACTATAATGAAGAAAAGACTGGTGGACTGGGGACATAATTAATGTAAAGACACTTTAGGGGCAATTATTATAAGGACTGTACTGTCACTTCCCAGGGATGACACACAATAGCAATATCTTTAAATTAAAAACAAGTAAAACTATAAGATTACTTACTATCGCCAAATTATATGTAATGTAATGTTACTTATGTACACTAACCTTGCAGTCATATAGTTACTTATGCATTCATGCTTCACCAAATGTTCCCTGTATATTGTAATAATAATCTCAGTCTCTCAATCGTTCCAGTTGCATACTGTACCTTTAAGGCCATGCTTGAGACAATGTTCCATTACAACAAAGAACTGCTGAAGAGGAGGGTAATCTGAATCCAAAGTACGGCCGTAGCCCAGAGCTGATTCAATGAGTCCTTTTATACTTAGCTTAGCCATGTTCAGCAGATTTGCACGCTCAACTACAGCTGGGTCTTTTGCTGTTGGTACACATGTAAAAACAATGACAGCATTATATACAATATAGCCAGTAAAAATGACCTGCAAATGATTGATTGAGATATATATACACTATATTGCCAAAAGTATTGGGACGCCTGCCTTTAGCGCACATGAACTTTAATGGCATCCCAGTCTTAGTCCGTAGGGTTCAATATTGAGTTGGCCCACCCTTTGCAGCTATAACAGCTTCAACTCTTCTGGGAAGGTTGTCCACAAGGTTTAGGAGTGTGTCTATGGGAATGTTTGACCATTCTTCCAGAAGCACATTTGTGAGGTCAGACACTGATTTCAGATGAGAAGATTTGTCTCTGCTCTAATTCATCCCAAAGGTGTTCTATCGGGTTGAAGTCAGGACTCTGTGCAGACCAGTCAAATTCCTCCACCCCAAACTAGCTCATCCATGTCTTTGTGGACCTTGCTTTGTGCACTGGTGTGCAGTCATGTTGGAACAGGAAGGGCCATCCCCAAACTGTTCCCACAAAGTTGTGAGCATGAAATTGTCCAAAATGTCTTGGTATGCTGATGCCTTAAGAGTTCCCTTCACTGGAACTAAGGGGACAAGTCCAGCTCCTGAAAAACAACCCCACACCATAATCCCCCCTCCATCAAACTTTACACTAGAGACACATCCATCGGATTGCCAGACAGAAAAGTGTGATTTGTCAATTCAGAGAACACGTCTCCACTGCTCTAGAGTCCAGTGGCTGCGTGCTTTACACCACTGCATCTGATGATTTGCATTGCACTTGGTGATGTAAGGCTTGGATGCAGCTGCTTAGCCATGGAAACCCAATCCATGAAGCTCTCTATGCACTGTTGTGCTAATCTGAAGGCCACACGACTTTTGGAGGTCTTTAGCTATTGACTCTGCAGACAGTTGGTGACTTCTGCACACTGTGCACTTCAGTATGTGCTGACCCCGCTCTGTCATTTTACGTGGCCTACCACTTTGTGGATGAGTGGCTGTTGTTCCCAGTTGCTTCCACTTTGTTATAATACCACTAACAGTTGACCATGGAATATTTAGTAGCAAGGAAATTTCACGGATGGACTTATTGCACAGATGGCAACCTATCACGGTACCACGCTTGAATTCACTGAGTTCGTGAGAGCGACTCATTCTTTCACAAATGTTTGTAGAAGCAGTCTGCATGCCTAGGTGTTTGATTTTATACACGTGGCTATGGAGATAACTGGAGGGGGGTCCCAATAATTTTAGCAATATAGTGTCTATATATATATATATATACAGTTGCAAGAAAAAGTATGTGAACCCCTTGGGATTACGTGGAGTTTTGCATGAATTGGGCATAAAATGTGCTCTGAACGTCATCTAAGTCACAACAATAGAAGAACACAGTCTGCTGAACATAATACTACACAAACATTAGATGTTGCCATGGTTTAATTGCACATAACATGTAAACATTCACAGTGCAGGGAGGAAAAAGTATGTGAACCTTTGGACTTAATAACTGGTTGACCCTCCTTTGGCAGCAATAACCTCCTCCAAAACGTTTCCTGTAGTTGCAGATCAGACCTGCACAACGATCTGGAGTAATTTTGGACCACTCCTCTTCACAAAACTGTTTAAGTGTAGCAATATTCTTGGGATGTCTGGTGTGAATCGCTCTCTTAAGGTCATGCCACAGCATTTCAATTGGGTTGAGGTCAGGACTCTGACTGGGCCACTCCACAAGGCGTATTTCTGTGATGTTGCAGCCATTGTTTTGTTGAATTACTTGTATGATTTGGGTCATTGTCCTGTTGCATCACCCATCCTCTGTGGAGCTTCAGTTGGCGGACAGATGGTCGTATGTTTTCCTGCAAAATGTCTTGATAAACTCTGGAATTCATTTTCCCATCAATGACAACAATCCGTCCAGGCCCTGAGGCAGCAAAGCAGCCCCAAACCATGATGCTCCCTCCGCCATGTTTTACAGTGGGGATGAGGTTTTGATGTTTGTGTGCTGTGCCTTTTTTTCTCCACACATAGTGTTGTGTGTTCTTCCCAAACAACTCAATCTTGGTTTCATCTGTCCACAGTATATTTTGCCAGTAGTGCTGTGGAACATCCAGGTGCTCTTTTGCAAACTTCAAACGTGCCGCAATATTCTTTTTGGACAGCAATGGCTTCCTCCGTGGTGTCCTCCCATGTACTCCATTCTTGTTTAATGTTTTCCTTATTGTGGATGTGTCAACAAAAATGTTAGCATGTGCCAGAGATTTCTGTAGGTCTTTAGCTGACACTCTGGGATTCTTCTTTACCTCATGCAGCATTCTGCGCTGTGCTCTTGCAGTAATTTTTACAGGACGACCATGCCTAGGGAGAGTAGCAACAGTGCTAAACTTTCTCCATTTGTAGACAGTCTGTCTTACCGTGGACACATGAACATCAAGGCTTTTGGAGATACTTTTGTAACCCTTTCCAGCTTCATGCAAGTCAACAATTCTTGATCATAGGTCTTCTGAGAGCTCTTATCTGCGAGGCATGGTTCACATCAGACAGTGCTTCTTGAAACCAGTAAACCCAAAACAGGTGTGTGTTTTTTAAGGGCAGGACAGCTGTCAGCAACACATCCAATATTATCACACTGATTGGAGTCAAGGTTGGCTCACTCCTGGCTCCAATTAGCTCTGGGAGAAGTCATTAAGCTAGGGCCTCACATGCTTTTTCCTCCCTGCACTGTGACTGTTTCATGTTATGTGCAATTAAACCATGGCAACATCTAATGTTTGTGTAGTATTATGTTCAGCAGACTGTGTTCTTCTATTGTTGTGACTTTGATGACGTTCAGAGCACATTTTATGCCCAATTCATGCAAAACTCCACGTAATCCCAAGGGGTTCACATACTTTTTCTTGCAACTGCATATATATATATATATATATATATATATATATATATACAGTATATACAGTATATATATATATATATATATATATATATATAATATAATATATATATAAAAAAATGGTACTCAGAGGATGAAAATACAGTAGTTATGCATGGACAAGAAGAATTAGAATAAATCAGAGCATAATTAAAATTGACAGGGATGCCTCTAAAATCCCTGAGACACCCATAGAAGAAATTAGGTAACACTTGCCAGGAAGAAAGGAAACCCTTCCTCTTTCTACTAAAACTGTGTTTTTTTTTGGTCTGTGTCCCAGCTGAGAAAATTTTCTAAGACTTTCAGTTTTTATGTTTTGTGAGATTTACTTTCCCCAGCAGGGCAATTAAAAACCTGACATAGACTTTAACTCTCCCCTACTCTATTCATAAGAAAATTGGTTCTGTCTGGAATTGGACTTAAGCTTATGCTGAGGTTGATATGATGGCACTGGTCAGAAACAAAGGAATACAGTAAAAAATAAATATAGCAGAGGACGGAATTAGTTTCGGTGTTCCGATATTGTTGACAGTGTTACTTTTGTGTATAAAGCACAGTCGGATAGAATGTTGTACCTGGCTGAGACACCACAGCTGCAGTGAGGTGGGAGACCCAATTAACAGGGGTTCCTTGGTGCTCCAAACTGAGCCATCTTCAATAGGAAATGCCACTCTTATTCCAGTAATCTGTAGAGGAGAGACATGCAAGATACTAAAGCTACCCACAAGCAATTAATGATAAATGTGCTAACAATCACATCATTAGCAAGATATTGATTTGAAGTCATGAGCACTCATCAAAAGATGCACCCCTGCATTGTTGCAATTACAAATGTTTAGGCATTCTCATGTTCATTATTTTTTGTTTGTATTGGTATGACACAAAAAAGTAGAGAAACAAAACGCAAAATCTGACACATTCCATGCAAAACTCCAAGTATGGACTGAACAAAATTATTGGCACCCTCAAATTAATATTTGGTAGCACACCGCTTGGAAAAAATAACTGAAATCAATCACTTCCTGTAACCATCGATGAGTTTCTTACATCTCTCTACTGGAATTGTAGACCACTCTTCTTTGGCCAACTGCTCCAGGTCTCTCAGACTGGAAGGGTTCCTTTTCCCAACTGCTGTTTTGAGATCTCTCCACAGGTACTCTATGGGATTGAGATCTGGACTCATTGCTGGCCAGTTCAGTATTCTCCAGCACTTTGTCTAAAACCATTTCTGGGTGCTGTTTGACGTGTGCTTTGGGTCATTGTCCTGCTGTAAGAACCATGACCTCTGACGAAGACCCAACCTTCTGACACCGAGTCCTACATTGCACCCCAGAATTCTTTGGTAGTCTTCAGATTTCATAATGCCATGCACACGATGAAGACATCCAGTGCCTGAAGTAGCAAAGCAACCCCAAAACATCAGTGAACCTCCACTATGTTTGACGGTAGGGACTTTTTTTTTTCTTTAAAGGCCTCACTGATTTTTCTGAAAATTAATGATGAGCTTTACCAAAAAGCTGTAATTTGGTTTCATCTGTCAACAGCACATTATCCCAAAAGGATTCTGGCTTTCTCAGGTAGGTTTTGGCAAAATCCAATTTGTTTTTTTTATGTTTCTGTGTCATTCAGATGGCCACGTGTAGTGCGAGCTGACACAGTTGTACACTGTGCCTGAAGGTCAGCTTGAAATTGTCTGAAAGTTGATCGAGGTTCTTTATCCATCATTTGAACAATCATTTGTTGCAACCTTTGATCAAGTTTTTCTTTTTCGTCCATGTCCTGAGAGATTAGTTACAGTGCCATGGGCTGTAAACTTCTTGAAAATGTTGCGCACAGTAGACACAGGAACATTAAGCCTGGGTTCACATATATTCGGTGCGGTATATCGCATGTGAGTCACACAGGAACCGCACTGCATTCCTGCAAAAATCACATGCGATTTGTGTGCGGTGCGATTGGAGCCATACATTCTGTATGGCTCCAATTGCGCTGCACCCGCACCAAAAATGTGCAGGACCTTTTTTTTGGTCCGCACTAGAATCAGATCGCATGGGTATTCACACCTATACGATCACATTCTGCACATCGCACTGCATTTTGTGGACCACTTTTGGGGTGTAGTTAACTTAACATACACAGCGGTTCGCATGAACGGGGAGCAATTCTCATGCCGTGCGGAATTTGCACTGAAAACACTGCGAATTCCACACCGCATCAGTGTAAACCCAGGCTAAGATCTGTTAGCTGATACAGATAAGTTTAGTTACAAATTACAGGAGCATCTCAAACTTGGAATGCAATTATTTCTTACAATTTGGAGAAGGTGCCAATAATTTTGTCCAGTCCATTTTTGGGGTTTTACATGGAATGTGTCAGATTTGGCTTTTTGTTTCTCCACTTTTTTGTGTCATACCAGTACAAGCAAGAAAAAACATTAGAATGCCTAAACATTTGTAGTTGCAACAATTTTCTGGGCGAAGTGGTGCATCATCTGACAGAAATACACGGGTGCAAATATGTTTAGCCATGACTGTACATAAACAATAAAGACTGCCGAGAACCTGTCATTGCACTGTATGGACAGCTGCTATCTGCACACAGCTGTCAAGCCTAGCAGCAGAAATCAGTGTATGCTTGCTTCTGAGATTGACAGCATGGCAAAATGCCTGTGTGAATAGTCACTTTACATATTACAGTGACAATATTAGCGCAGGTATCTAAACCAGCCATTCTCAACCAGAGATCCTGTGAGGGGTCCCTTGAGCTGTGGCTGATTGACCTCCCATCTGATGGTACTTGCACAGTTGTAGGGTCAATGCCAGTTGGCAGAGCCAGCTGCAAGACACTGATGGCCTTTTTAGCTCTCTGTAAGGGAGGCATTCTGACCACCACTGTAAAACAGGCATTCTTTCCACTGATCCCCAATGCAAGGGGGGGCATTCTTCCCACTGACCCCCAATGTAAAGAACATTTTTTTCACTGACCACCAATGTAAGTGTGCATTCTTCTGATATCCCAGGCTAGCGGGAGCCTGGGCTGAGGCTACCATTCATTCCAAAACCAGTGGGACTGCATAGATGTGCAGCTTCAAGGGATCCATCGTTTGCTGGGCATTCGTCCCACTGGCCACCAATGTAAGGGGACATTCTTTCCAATGACCACCAATAAATTGGTTCAAGAAGGAGTTCTCAGAGACCTGAAAATTATTTCAAGGGTTCCTCTGGGGAAAAAAGGTTAAAGTGTTTCTAAAGGCATTTTTAATTAAAATAATAAACTTCCTATACTTACCTGCTCTGCGCAATGGAATTGCACAGAGCGGTCCCAAATCTCCTCTTCTGGAGCCCCCCCCCCCGGCATGCTCTGCGCCTCCTCTCCTGTATCTGCCCCATAGCAAACCTTTTGCTATGGAGACAGACATGTGGGCTAGATACTGAGCTGAGCTGTGTTCGTCCATAGACATACACAGCTTGTCTTGGCCCCACCCCCTCCTCCCTCCTCACAGCATTTGATTGGCAGCAGCAGGAGCCAATGGCACCCACTATTGCCTCAGTTCCTGTGAGTAGAGGGAGAGGAGAAAGAGATGCAGCCGAGCACAGCGCTAGATCGATTGAAGGTGAGGGAGCACAGCAACTTGTAAAATGTTTTTACCCTAATACAGAGAATGCATTAAGGTAACAAATGTTTTCTCTTTAGAACCACTTTAGGAAAGGCTGGAACACATTATGAGTTACTAGTATTTGTATTATCAGTTCTACCAAACCAAGAAGCAAAAAACAATAGAAGCAAAATTCTATTCTGATATATTAACAGCTCAATAATTTACATTGGAATTCAAGTCTAAACTTATAACGACTCCCATCCCCCTCCCAACTGCTATACTAACTACCCTGTAGAAGGGAGATGCTTATACTTACCTATTTACAGAGCACTCTGGTCCGGTCCCGTCATCTCCCCAGCCGACAGCTTCAGGGGAGAGGAGAGAGCACTGACAAGGGCTTGAATGCCTGGGTGGTAACATCGCCCATAGGTTTACTATGGGGCATTTGTTGTCTGCTGTCCCTCCTCTCCCCTGAAGCTGCTGCTGGGGAGATGGTGTTACCGGACTGGAACACCCTGACAACAGCCAAGTATAAAGTATCTTCCTTCTGCAGGGTAGTTAGTATAGCATTTAGAAGGGGGTTGGGAGCAGGTTTAATCTTAGGTAGTAATAGATTGGAATTCCACTTTAAACCTTTATACACACATTAATCAGAGCAATGTACTCTGAAGAAGACGTATTGCCAGAACAAAATGTCCCCATTTAGCACAGAAATGTATTCATTAAAAAAAAAAAAAATCAAAAATCATTTGAAACAATACCCATTCATAGCTAATATGGGCTGCGTTCATAATAGGTTCCTGTATTTCTCTGCACAGCAGGACTAAAGCTCCCCATACATCCTACAATCTCCTTCAGATTTACCAACAACTATGTAGTGCAAGTTCCTATGTGATTTCATGCAGATTGATTGGATAGTTTTGTTTTAGGAAATCTAAAGTTGACTGTACAGAGAATTCCAGCAATTATCTGTATTACGTACATACATTGATCCAGCTTGGCACAATGCCATCATGCATTACTCATACCTGATAGGCTACTGAGGAATCTTGAAATCACTGTAGTAGTTGGCGCTGCTACAGTGACAGCTGCAATCCTCTGGGTCCTGCTAGGGTTCTGTGCGAGTGGTTCCATACAGAACACAGGGGATTGATCACTTTGCACCTCCATCATTAGCAGAATGCCTTGTATTTTTCTAATGCATACAAAGTGCTCTTTGATTAGACAAGGTGGAAATTGTGATGTCGCTGCCCCTTCTCTCCACCTTCTCCAATCAGAGAACACCTTATATTCATTGAGAAAATACAAAGTGTTCTCTTAATAGAGGCGGTGCTGAGCAAGTGACCACCTGCAGTCAGTGTGCAGAGAAGAATCTGCTTGCACAGGACCCAGATGTTCACTGTAGTAACGCAGACTACTACAGTGATTGTCAGCTTCCCTAGGGGACCCTCAGGTGTTATTACTTACAATGTACCAAGCTAGACCAATGTGAATATGCAATACAGATCATATCTGGAGTTCAGCTTTAGGACTAGTAGACTAGATGGGACAGTAAGCCAAAAGATTGTATTACATCTCACTGATGAGAGGGGCGAGCAGAAGGATGACCTCATCACTGTGTTGCTGCTTCTTCACTATCCTATCACAGGCAGGAAAAGTGAGGTCAGTAGTAGCAATGTGGGGTGTCTACATTAGAACATTTACTGGACTAAATCTTACAGGCAAATTATGAATTTGCTGTAAATTTACCTGTTTGCATTTTTATACACTAATAAAATTACAAAATCCAATTTTTTTCTAGTAGACTTTACACTTTCATTACCAATGCATTTACAGTTCATAGTAATAAAGGTTTTGGGGGCTAGGATTCCTCCTCTACAAAAATACTTTCCTTTAGATATGATCCTCAATAGACACAGGATTTACAGTATATTCAGCATGTTTACACCAAATGCCCTTACAAACTCAGCTATTACTGTGTAAAAGTAGCATCTACATCACTACTGTTATGCACACAGCCTGCGCAGAGCAGAGGTGTGGGAGGGACCCAGCAG